ACTTTGAGTTTCACCAGTCCTTGGTTTATTATTTAGTTTATTTGTTCAATTTTAATTATAGCTTTATTTATTTTAATTTTTGAGGTGACCTGTGGTTGGTTTTTGGCTTATCGTACCACAATATTTGCATAAATGCCTTAGAAGCTTTTTGCGCGATTTTAAAAAATGGGAGGGAAAGCCTATCTTTCATGGTTTTTCATTCAATCTCTAAATTTCAATGTTGAGTCGATATAGGTGTGCATCCTGTCCGCGGGTAGTTTTGTTCAGTTCTTGTTTCCTATTGGTTGCATTTCTCAATTTAATTTTCGCGCGCCAATCATGACTAGGCATTATCGATTTTTCTGGTATGTTTGTAATTCTCATTGTTCTGTACAGTCTCTACGCATCTGAAGACAACCTTGTGTACCAGTGTCGAAAGATCAATTAAGTTTGTTACTATCGCCCAAAGAAATTCTCTTACCAAATAATACTTCTCGGGATGCCCATTTTCCCCTTATACTTTTTATATTTGATAGGACTGTCTTTAGAGGCCCTATTTATCTTTGATTTATAATCATATACTACTTTTACATTTCCAGTTACTCGACTTTCCTTTTATTTTGGTAAATTCCGCCAATGTGACGTCACATTTCCATCAATAGGCATCAGTTGCCTGGGTGAGAGGAGTTTATGTTGATGGAGTTGGTTATATTTTGCTCACTATAATAATAAGTGGCTTTAATTTAATGTTCTTTGATCACTATCCAGTCAAGTTTATCAAAGGAAATATAATCAAACGCCTTTGAACTCCCTATTGGTACATAGTATTAAAGAAATGCATCGGCACAGCCGAACATTACACAGAATTCGCTTAAATAATTGTAGGCGACTACTCGTTTGTTTCAAGTAACACACTCACATGTGATGATGTCAGTTAACACGAGCCAGCGGGTGTAGCTGAGCAAAAAGAGCAGACAGTGAAAAACTCCTAAGGCATGGCTCATAATTTTAAAAAAACAGTCGCTGTCAAGAAAGTTAGATATCCATTTAGACTCACTTACGGCGAATTAAATGTTTACCCACCAATTCCGTTGGGCGGTGGGACTATATATTTAGGCGGCCCTGCAAGACATTTTTGCCTTATATTTAATTTTTCTTTCTCCTGATATGACCCCTATTACCACCGGTTCCGTTAGGCAGAATCCTGGGGCTAAGGGTATTTAAGGTTGCCAGCCAGTTTTATCGTTACCGTGGAGAGGTATTTAGGGTAGCCTGTGAGCGCTGTCTGTGTGTCAAACACGCTGAGTTCGTTTGGCTGTTATTAGGGGGTTGGGTTGGCGAGCAATTATCATCTAGCGGTTTTTCTGTCTCCACGTCTTACCACCGGGCCCAGTTTAGGGAATGAGGAGAGAGTAAAGTAGATGTGCCGCAGGTCTTCTTTCACTGTAATCCAGCGGAAGTCACCGCATCTGCAACATCCTGCTGTGAAACATACGGTGAATAGCGTCGGAACCGACGGTCAAACTGTCGTGGCCACAGAGCGCTGAGTTCGCTTACCCAATCTCCACGGCCTCGACTGTTACTAGTACCCGTTTGCGTAGACCTTAAGAGTAGTGTGCGGCTTCCCGGTAGATGACTTGAAAGGCTTCTCTAGCCTCAACATGACGGTCGTATCGATTACAGGTACGGGAAATAAACTCGAAATCGATTGCTTTTCTCGTTTGCCCAGCCAGGTAGGTGTGTTTGCCCACCCTCTTCGTCAGAAAGACGCCAAGTCCTAGGTTGCAGCTCACAGGACGGGACCCGACCATAGTTTCAAGTTTAACGAGGCCGAAATCCTCGCAAGAAGTGACAACCGCGTGAGCCGCGGGCTGCTCGAGTCATGGTTCTCAGGCCCCCA